CTGGCAAGCCCAAGCACCAATTAAGCATTTGCCTTCAACCCACACCCACTCTAGGGCTGGCTATGGCCATCTTACGTCAGGGTCATTTTCTGGGGCTGGGGGGTGAGAAGGAAATACGTTTCTAGCAAAGAGCTTTTCAAGGGTGGCTAAATACTATTATCCTCATCTTAGAAATGGGGTAACTAAAGCAGTGGTTCTCAACCAGGGGTACGCGTACCCCTGGGGGTACACAGAGGTCTTGCAGGGGGTACATCAACTCATCAAGATATTTGCCTAGTTTTACAACAGGCTACATAAAAAGCACTAGCGAAGTCAGTACAAACTAAAATTTCATAAAGACAATGACTTGTCTATACTGCTCTATATACTATACACTGACATGTAAGTACAATATTTACATTCCAATTGATTTATTTTATAATTATATGGTAAAAATGAGAAAGTCAGCAATTGTTCAGTACTAGTGCGCTGTGACACTTCTGTATTTTTATGTCTGATTTTGTAAGCAAGTAGTTTTTAAATGAGGTAAAACTTGGAGGTACGCAAGACACATCTGACTCCTGAAAGGGGTACAGTAGTCGGGAAAGGTTGAGCGCCACTGAATTAAAGCCCAGAAGGCCAAATCTTCAGCTGGTATAAATCACTGTAGCTCTGTTGAAGTTAGTAGAGCTACGTTAATTTACATCAGCTGAGGATCTGGACCAGAGAGTTTAAAAGGACTCACCCAAAGCACATCAGAGCCAGGGAGAGAACCCAGCTCTCTGGATTTCCAGCCCTTTAGGTAGCCACTAGATCAGTGGTTCTCAAACCTTTGTACCGGTGACCCCTTTCACATAGGGAGCCTCTGAGTGCGACCCCCAGCAGTTTGTAGCATCAGGGATAATAAAAGCAGTGGCCTTTTGCTCCCGAATACATTGACCTCTGCTCAATGAGGTGAGCCAGTAGGTCTGCTAAGCTGATACATGTTATAAGATTCCATGTCTGAGGGTATGCCTGCCCTGCAGGGGTAATTCCCAGCGTGGGGAGACCCCCCCCCCCCCCGCACTTGCTCCGATCTTGCAGGCTAAAAACAAAAGTGTTGCTGTGGCAGCGTGAGTGGCGGAAGGGGCTCGCTGCCCCACGTACGATCCCGTCTGAGAGCCTAGGCACGTACTCAGGTGGCTTGCCCCTTCTGCCGTTTGTGCTGCCACGGATATACTTCCATTTTTAATGTGCTAGCTCCATCAGAGCTGGCATGGCGATGTCTGCTCGAGGTGGACATTACACCTTCCAACTCCAGCGCAGACATACCCACAGAGGCTGTTGACGTGCACCTTCCTAAATCACCATATCCAATGATCATAGGGGAAAATATCCTGGGGGGCGGGGAAGAGGGGGAGGTAGTTTTAAGAGGTGGCGGTGGATGGAAGGGCATATAAATCCCATTTCCAAAGCTACCGCTGCAAGATTATTATTCTGCTTTCAACTCACACTGGTATCCAAATAGCTTAGTCTGGACTGGCTGTAGAGTGGTCTCTATGCTCCTCAGAGCAGAGATTTTGTCTGCTTATTGGTTTGAGCAGCCATAACCACATGGAGAAGCAGCGTTTTACTGATGTCAGGACCGTTTAAGTAACCGTTGGGTGGGTCATTGGCAGGGACTGAACCTAAGAGCTCTGGATCTAAAAGCACTAATCTCGAGTGCCTGAGCTATTGGACCTGGTCCATTAACTTGAAGGGAGGAGTCCACAAGTGCCTATATGTCATCCAGCCACTAGAGAGGGACAAAGATCCTCGTATCAATGTGGGTTACACCAAAACTCCTAAAACAGAAAGAGGGCAGTTGCACTAACCTCTGTGGATTGTTCCATTTGATGGGATTGTATTGGAGTACCAAAGTTGAGATCAGAGCAGTAATAGAATCATAGAATATTAGGGTTGGAAGGGACCTCAGGAGGTCATCTAGTCCAACCCCCTGCTCAAAACAGGACCAATATAGGGAAACATAAGCAACTATTAGCATAGCCACTCCAGGCTAGAGCAAAGAGAAAGCCCTGCACTAGGACCCACAAGTTCTTAATTCAAACAATGTTATGTTTATTACCATTTAAAAAAACAATTCTAGAAAAGCAGGGGAGAGCACCAGTGCAAAGAGGCCTCCAGTGCAGGGCTCTCTTTGCATCCATCGAGTAGCAACTGCAGAGGCAGAGGTGGTGCAAGCTACCCACAATGCTGCCTTTTCAATGTGCTTCAACACAGAGCCTGGATGACCAACTCAGTGGGCGAGATGGTCATTCAGTCTTGTGCCCATTCAATCCTTGGCTCCCTCTGCTTATTCAGGCAATGAGAACATAAGAACAGCCATTCTGAGTCAGACCAAAGGTCCATCTAGTCCAGTATCCTGTCTTCCGACAGTAGCCAGTGCCAGGTGCCCCAGAGGGAATGAACAGAACAGGTAATCATCATGTGATCCATCCCCTATCGCCCATTCCCAGCTTCTGGCAAACGGTCACTAAGGACAACATCCCTGCCCATCCTGGCTAATAGCCATTGATGGACCTATCCTCCAAGAATTTATCTAGTTCTTTTTTGAACCCTTTTATAGTCTTGGTCTTCACAACTTCCTCTGGCAAGGAGTTCCACAGGTTGACTGTGCGTTGTGTGAAAAAATACTTCCTGTTTGTTTGTTTTAAACCTGCTGCCTATTAATTTCATTTGGTGGTCCCCTATTTCTTGTGTTATGAGAAGGAATAAATAACACTTCCTTATTTACTTTTTCCACACCAGTCATGATTTTATAGACCTCTGTCATATCCCCCCTTAGCTGTCTCTTTTCCAAGCTGAAAAATCCCAGTCTTATTAATCTCTCCTCATACGGCAGCTGCTCCATACCCCTAATCATTTTTGTTGCCCTTTTCTGAACCTTTTCCAACTCCAATATATCTTTTTTGAGCTGGGGCGACCACATCTGCACGCAGTATTCAAGATGTGGGCGTACCATGGATTTATATAGAGGCAATATGATATTTTCTGTCTTATTATCTATCCCTTTCTTAATGATTCCCAAAATTCTGTTCGCTTTTTTGCTGCTGCTACACATTGAGTGGATGTTTTCAGAAAACTATCCACAACGACTCCTAGATCTCTTTCTTGAGTGGTAACAGCTAATTTAGACTCATAATATTACATGTATAATTTTCTAATGTGCATTACTTTGCATTTATCAACACTGAATTTCATCTACCATTTTGTTGCCCAGTCCCCAGTTTTGTGAGATCCTTTTGTAGCTCTTCGTATTCTGCCTGGGACTTAACTATCTTGAGTAGCTTTGTATCATCTGCAAATTTTGCCACCTCACTGTTTACCCCTTTTTCCAGATAATTTATGAATATACACCTCTACCCCGATATAAAGCGACCCGATATAAGATGAAGTGGGGTGTGGGGGGGGGGGGGGGCGGGGGGGGGGGGGGGGGCGCGGCTGCACGCTCCGGCGGATCAAAGCAAGTTCAATATAACTCGGTTTCACCTATAACGCGGTAAGATTTTTTGGCTCCCGAGGACAGCGTTATATTGGGGTAGAGGTGTATTGAACAGGACTGGTCCCAGAACAGACCCCTGGGGGACACCATTATTTACCTCTTTCCATTCTGAAAACTGACCATTTATTCTTACCCTTTGTTTCCTCTCTTTTAACCAGTTACCAATCCATGGGAGGACCTTCCCTCTTATCCCATGCCTGCTTACTTTGCTTAAGAGCCTTTGGTCAGGGACCTTGTCAAAGGCTTTCTGAAAATCTAAATACACTATATTCACTGAGGGTAGCAACTAGTGCCAGTTGCGCTGCTGATTTTGTGGCATGGATGCCTGTCCAATAAGAACTGGGCTGAGATCCCTCATAAAAGAGCCAGTGGTTGTGGATTGGTGACCTGGGAGGTGTAAACCTCTATCTCAATGCCAGTCCCCAAACCATCCCGCTGCTTTCCTCCATGCAACATAGGAATTGCCGCGCTGGATCAGACTCATGGTCCATCTAGTCCAGTATCCTGTCTCCAACAGTGACCAGCACCAGCTGCTTCAGAGGGTGGTTCAGGATAGGTACTTTATGGGATAACCTGCTCCTTGGGACAGTTTCTTCCTGACCCCCGATAGTTACAGGTTGGCTTAAGCCCTTAACTTGCTCCGCAGGACAATGAGTGAAAGCTGGTAGCAGACAGAAGTAATGGGGTTGTGGGTAAGATGTAGAACTGAGAGCTAGGACTCCTGGGCTCCTTCCCCAGCCTGGCTATTTACTCATGAGAGTCTGGGCAAGTCAGACTCTCTAAGACCTCAGTCTCCCTGCCTGCAAAATGAGCACAGTACTAATGTAACTAGTCTGCTGCCCGCTATGGCTACTGACGGCAAGAGCGGCCATCCACGGAGACCACGGGGGACAGAGCTCTGCTCCAGAAGCACAGCTTACCTGGGCTAGGAGGAGACTGTTGGCTATTCAAATTACACCCAAAAGGGGGCAGTGATGAACACTCACACTAGTGATGAGCAGGGATCCTCGAAATCCGTTTGCTGCGGAAAAACACGGAATTTGCATTTTTACAGAGACCCTGACTGGGCTTGGGCCGTCAACCCCGGACGGCGGGGCTCAGGCCATCAGATTTCATTTTAAGCGCGGGAAAACCCGGATATGTATGAGTTCCTTTTCATTACAGAATTTGGGGGGAGGGGGGTTATCACGGAAAACTAGGATCCCTGGTGATGACTAGCTGGTTCGTTAGGTATTATCTCCTTCCCAAGGGCCTTATGGCAAGGCTTGGATGACAGAAAGATCCTCTGGGTTACAAGAAATGGAAACAATTAGCACGAAAGGGTTCAGATGCAGAAGGGCTTGTGGTGGGGGCCGGGCATGAATGTGTGCTAATTTGAGACTGGAAGTCCCAAGCAGAAAGCAGGTGACTCACCATGTTGAGGGTGTAGGGGGAGGGATTTTTTTTGCGGAGGGGGTGTCTGCAGAATTTCTTCTCTTACCTCACATTTAAAAGGCTTTTCCCCGGAGTGCTGAAGAGAATGGACTTTCAGGGACATGCTGCGTTTGAACGACTTCCCACACGTCTCACATGTGAACGGCATATCCTTGGTGTGAGCTACAAATGAAGACAAAAAGGCAATAAGACTTGAAGGGGAAGGTGATACAAAGTGACCGTAACAGTGAGAACGCCCCGGTGCTCCCTCCAGATGGAGCCCATCGCTGGCACGCCAAAGTAAGGCGATCCGGACTTTGTACCTCAGAGGGCTGCCATGGGAATGAATGAGAAATGGAGCTACTTAATGTCTGTGTTAGATTAACAGCTGAGCTAGCTCGGGAAAGAGGGGGCAAATGGCATGAAGCGATTTTAAATAAAGAGCGATAACTTTTATGAAACAATACACACACCTCTCATAACTCACTGGCCGCGCTGCCTAGCCGCCAGTGTATTCTCTGAACTTTTGGATTGATCACCCTCGCTTTTAATATTTTGAAACAAAAAATTGTGCTGTCTCCTATTTTGTTTCTCTTTAATAAAGAGTAGTAACTACTGTCTTTCAATAAATCCAGGTGAAACTTGCTCAGTAAAGAGAGGCTTTTCCCTAACCAACAGCCCTGCAAACTCATCCTGGGATCTCAGAGTCCAGCTGGAGTCTTTCCTTCTCTTGCATATAACCAGCAGACCACATGTTGCCTGCTCTTACTCCTTTCAAGCCCCACCGTCCTCAATAACTGAAGAGCAGCCTCTGACCATGTAACTTAATTAACAATCCTGTCGATCATGCACAAGGAGGAAGAGACCCTAGCTCACCCTCCCATAGCTGGGTTGGTTCTGCAGGGCTAACAAGCACTAAAAGCTCGTCCTGCCGCAGTTTCCTCTGACTCTGATTGAAAGCCATTGAAAAGAAAGGGTCATTTTTATATAGTCCCTTTTCTGAGCAGACCCACACTTAAATTCTGTCACAAGCCACTTGAGACCTGTGACAGATATTGCAACTATACGCAGCATCTTTGGGGCGGGCCTATTGTATTTTATGTTTAAATCAGGAAAACCTCAAAAAGCCATTCTTCTGAGACGGACCAAACAGTATGAGCTGTAGACTATTCATAGCCCTCTGCACCAATACGGGCGACGTGTATTTGAGTGTTCTTGGCTTGTTGAGTTGGTTTCCTGCGCAATATGGAATTACCAGAGGGTGATTTATGCAAAATCTCAAGGCTGGCTATGTAGATTCCCAGCCTTTGAAGCCTGAGCTCCTGGGGCACTGGGGGAGCGACTGATTTTACCCGTTTTCAGGAGGCTGGGAGACAAAGCAAGACTTCGGGTATAAAAGGTTGAGTTTAAATAGGCTTCCTTTTGATTCAGCAAACAGACAGGACCTTTGGAAGAGCTGTGTGGTCACCGGTAAAAAAACCTTGTCATTGTCTTTGGAGAGAAACTAAAGAGCAGGGGGCTAGGTGTCTATCAGAGCTGCTGGAGATACCACAGGGTGTGGCAGGGAGCTGCGCAGCCATAAACCGCCAGTCAGAAGGGAGTGGGACAAGGGTCTCTACCCAGAGACAGGTGATGGCTGGAGGCCAGAGACCAGACTGGGCACTCCTGAACTGGATCTCAGAGGGAAAATACAGGTGCAGTTACACTGAAAGTGTGACAACGACAACCTGCCAATGGTAAAGACTCACCATAAGAGTCGCTTTCTTCTAACGCTCAACAAGGAACTTTATTAGCAAAAGGAAAACAGCATTGTCTCTAAAGCGTCCGTCTCTCATCTCCTCCATCAACTAGTTCCGGAGAACACATACATTTAATTTAGGGTGACATTTTTCGGCCAATCTTTTTTTTCAAGCAAAAATGCAGGTTTGACAACACCCAAACGTTTCACGAATTCACATTTTAGTTTCGCTGAATTGTTCATTTGAAAGCAATTCAGAAAAATGAAAACATGTTGTTTAGACATTTGTTAAACAACCCGTTTCAATTTTTTGGCTTGAAACGAATTTTATTTAAAAATTTCAAAAACATTAAAAATGGTCAGAATTGAAATGGTTTGATTTTGTCTAATAAAACATTTAATTCAACTGGAACCTATTTTTCCCCGTTTTCCAGAACTGCCAATGAACTGAAAAATCTGTCATTTGACCAGCTCTAATTTCAGTTTTTTAAGAGATATGTGGGAAACCTCTTCAGCGCAGTCTAGGGATAGGGTTAAACTGCATCTCCATTAAGCGTGATGCCCCCGCAGCCCCAGCACAAACACCCATGCACTCACCAACCATGTGTTTCCGCACATGTGCCATGGTGTAGAATTTCTTCTCGCAGATTTCACAGGAGAACTTCTTCTCCGCGTAGCCATGGACAATTTTATTGTGTTCGTGCAGAGACCAAAGTTTCTTAAACGCTTTCCCGCACGTCACACACTGCAAGGGAAGAGAAGAATAAGACAGGGGCTGAAATACGCCAGAGGGGGAAATATACAGGGAAGGGTCCCCAGCTTACAAAATTAAACGTAGCATCATGGGATAAACTGTCGCCTTACAGTGGGTGGGTATGATAGGGGGTCCACACTAAGGTGACCAGACGTCCCGATAAAATCGGGACTGTCCCGATTTTGAGGAGTTTGTCCCGCATCCTGTCCAGAGTACGGTCGAGACGCCATTTGTCCCGATATTTTGTTTCCTGGTCTTCGGCGGCAATTCGGCGGATAGTCCTTCAGTGGCGGACGGTGCTTCTGTCTTTGGCGGCAAGGTTTATTACCCGCCGCCAAAATACCGCCAAAGACCGTCCGCGACTGAAGGGCTCTCCGCCAAATTGCTGCCGAACTCCCAGACGGGTGAGTGTAAAAAAAAAAAAAACAGCTCCCCCTACGGCAGTCCCGATATTTTCCCCTTAACATCTGGTCACCCTAGTCCAGACAGAATTTTTTCACTCTATGCTGCTCCCCTGTGCACTCCTGACAATCACACTCCTCTTGCCCACTTGAGTTCTACAAGGTCAATCGTGCTCCAAAGGAGAAGGAGAGTGCATGGAGAAGGAGAGAGCAACGCCCCACCCCAGCCCTTCTGCACCAGACAACAGAGCTGGCTACCCCAATGGGGACCACATGGTTGTAGCAGAGCAGGTCGGGAAATGGGATAATCCCGCGCCTGGAACATTTTGCCAAAAATGAAAACAAACTGAGTTTCTTGAAATTTTCTCTCAGAAAATGGTGACCTTTGGTCGAAAAGCCCCAAGGTACTCGTTCAGCTTGAGCAGAATATCCAATTTGCTGTCACAAAAGTTTTGAGGGAAAATTCTTGACCAGCCCTAGTTTATAGGGTGCAGCGCTGGCTGCTCTCACCGTAGGTGCTGGCTGCTGAGGGCCTGTGCTGTAGATCCACTGCAGTTCTGATGCATGAGGGCTGGATCCCAGGCAGTGGGACATGTGGGGCGGTGAGGCTGGGCACCTGCTGTTGTGCAGATCCTCTCTTTCCTCCCCTGGGCAGAGGACGCTACCATCGTTACTTTAGCAAGCCGAGAGGCAAACAGAGTTACGGTGAACGGACTAAGCAGCGGCACATGGGTAGGAAGATGGATATCCTAGACCCCAGCAAGCCTGGGGTGTCGTTCGGAACGTAAGCCATAGGCTGTGTGTCTTCAAACCATCAGCAACGCTGGAGGGATCGACCCAAAACCCAGTGGTGTTTGCAGGATTGATTAGGGTCCTCCTGAGCTTGTATCCCCTGGAGCTTCGCTTTGGATTCAAATGAACAGAAAGACTGAGCAAACCTCAGCCAGAACCTCCTAGACTGGCCTGGCTCAGCCTCTCTCTCTCGTCAGCTTCAGGCTAGTGGCTGTACATGCTCTAGGGAGGGGGAAGGCACAGGGCGGAGAGAGCCTGGAGACGCCCTCCCAGCTGCTAGCTGCACTACAGTGTGGGGCCTGCGCCAGGACCGCCTTGTCCTTGGGCACTAGATTCCCTGGGCTGCCTGCCAGCTGGGGATGGTGGTATCCCAGCATGCAATGTGTTCAGCCAGTGCTCGTCTGCCGCTGCATGCAAGCTCCTTGTATTCCCCCCCGAGGCCATACCAGCTCCCACACTGGCTCAGGCCTAGCACGAAAGCAGCAGCCATCCCAAAGGAGTCCAGCCAGACATCAGCATCGGCTGGGCGCAGAATCGCCAAGACCATGGGTTCTCTGGGGCAGGGACTGTCTGTGTTACCTGCCTGTACAGCACCTAACACAATGCGGGCCCTGCTCCTTGACTGGGGTTCCAGGGCACTACCGTAATGTAACTAATAACGCTCACATGGCATAACCGCCTATAGCCTCGCAATCAGAGCCCAGCGCATGCCCAGGTTTCCTTCACTGTCTTTCCAGCTAGCACCGGATCACGAAGAACCCCACAAAGTCCTAAATCTGCCACTTACCACACGCTGCCCTACAGGTTACAGTCCTCCTGCAGGAGCAGGCACTGCAGCCCCAGATTTCATTAGCTCCGGGGATCGGCTGGAACTGACCTGTCAGGCACCATGAGCGAGGCTTCACCTTCACCGCTCCCCTGACGCTCTCGCTGGGAGCCATCACCGCGAAGGGGAATGACAGCGTGAATGAGTGTCACTGAGGGCAAGAGCGAGCAGGGGAGTCGATACAGCTTCACCAAACTCTTTCATGACAAGCTCCACTCATTGCTACAGTACACACAGGGAGCGCTTTGTCCCCGCACTGAATTGCAGCCTTCTCTGGGGGGCGGGTAGTTTAACACAGTAGAACACCAGAATACGGATCCCACTTGTCACTGCAGGAGGGATTTACGGAGGCTGGATATAGTTATCCCAGGGGAATCTGACCATAAAACTGCCATGGGATCGTTAATGGCCAGTCGGCCACAGCTTCAGTTTTATGTCACATTCAGAAGAGGGCCTCTCTCAGCACAATGCCCTCTACTGCCAGGCTTGGGCGCTGGCTCAGCACCAACCTCAGCACCCAGGGAAGAGTGCCCCTGTTGGATTACCACGCCACTCCCTGCAGCACCTCTGTCTCTTGCAGATCTGCTGCTGCTCAACAGCCTCTTGCAGGGCCTAGGGCAAGGGATGAATAGGAGCAGAACGCAGGGAAGAGCAAAGATGCGAACTGCCCCACCACACCAGCTGCGCAAGGTGCTGCCCCCTAGAGGCACTAAGCCATGCACAGGCATATCACCTTGCTCCACCCTGCTCAAGAACTACATGTGTTTTCCTACTAGCCCTAGCCAACAGCCAGCGGCTCGCAGAGCCATAGTCTGGCTCTAGCGCTCTCTGCTCCACTTCCAGGCGATAACTTTCCGGGGGAAAAGAGCTGCCCCTTGGAATAGGCAAGTCACAGGATTGCTAAGGAATCACTGACTTCGGATGATCAAGCATCCCAGCGTCCTGAACACATCTTTACCGTGAAGGAGTCAGAGACAGGACAGTGCCGCTTGCTATAATCCCCGGGCTGTGCTTACCCAGCAGCAATGAGACATAGGGACACAGCGCCAAATCACAGTTCACAGGCAACAGCTATCTTTTATTGGCCTCCCAAGACCCTCTCTTTTTGCTAATCCCCACCCCCACCACGTCCCTAAGTTTGTATCTGTCACATTCCCTGAAGAGACTGACAGCAAATTTGGTTTCAAGACCCATTTAAGGAGCACAGCTCACAGCACGGGCAGAACTGCAGGGATTAACCCACTGTCTGCTTCTCATGGTGCCAGCTCAATAGGCTTCCGCTCCGCCGCCACGCCACCTCTGGCCGCCAGGGCTGGGGAGAACAGAAGCTAAACGGGGTTGGACTTGGCCAGCATTTGGATGGGAAACCCCCAAGGTCTGGAGACCGCTGAAAGACGTGACGAATTACTGACTCACCAAGGTAACCCCGGTGTTGAATCAAAGCCCCAGCAGAGGGGGCACTGCCCTGCAGCACATGCTGTAATTTGGATGGGGCTTGTAAAATCAAACCTATGTGGTCACTGAAGACCCCGGGTCACTTTGTATAATCACCGATGTGTTAAATCTAGCATCCGGGCTTAACTCCACTTTTGGCCATTTTATTCGGTCAATCCCAGTTTAGCTGCATTCTCAGTGTGGAGGGAAAACTGTTCTCCCTTGCCTGCCCAAATCGCTGCCTAGCCTTGCTCGACATCAGTTAGCCAAGTGTGCAAAGTGTTGTGGGATCCATTCAGGGATGGGATCAGATGTGTCTACTGCTTCAGTTCCCCATCTCTCTCCCAGGAGCTGCACGTTATCAGAGTGCTTTCAAGCCTTGCCTTCAGCGTTCAGCGCTCTGGCTACAACGCATAGCTCAGCCCTTCTGGAAAATGAGCTTTCCTTCCCCTGCATTAGCTAGCGCAGGGGTAGGCAACGTGTGCCGAAGGTGGCACTCGAGCTGATTTTCAGTGGCACTCACACTGCCCGGGTCCTGGCCACCGGTCCGGGGGGCTCTGCATTTTAATTTAATTTTAAATGAAGCTTCTTAAACATTTTGAAACGTTATTTACTTTACATACAACAAGAGTTTAGTTCTATATTATAGACTTATAGAAAGAGACCTTCTAAAAAGGTTAAAATGTATTACTGGCACGCGACACCATAAATTAGAGTGAATAAATGAAGACTCGGCACACCACTTCGGAAAGGTTGCCGACCCCAGAGCTAGCGCTTTATATGTTCAAAGCAAAGCTCCCACTGACTTCAGACTGGGAGTGCTCAGCACTTCAGCAAGTCACACCCCAGGTGTCTGAAGTTCGGACAACCCAGAAAGAAAGAACTAAAGAAGACACAATGGCCACCTGGGAAGTTTGGTTTAAGTGACTTGCCCAGCATCATGTAGTATCTCAGTGGCAGAGGCGGGGACTGATTCCAATTCTTCAGGGCAGCATTTGCCTTAGCCACAAGACCCTCCTTTCTCCTCCTGCAGTCCCCTCCTTCATTCACTACACACCTTCCAACTTCTGCAGCTTCTGGACATCCCACAGAGAACCACCTCATTAACTACACAATCCCAGTTATGCTCTGAGCACTGTCCAGCACATTCGTATTATTCAGAAAGCCATTTCGTGTTGAAAAAAAAAAAAAGTCATCCATGTGTTTTCAACCAGCCCTACTCTCTAACCTCCTTCAGGTTAGATACTCGTACTTTCCCCAAGCCGGCACAATGTCACAGCACTCTTCATATTCCACAATGCTATTCCCTCAATGCACAGATCAAAGAACTGAACGTCTCACTGCCGTACAAGCTTAGCATCACTGTCAGACGCAGAAAGAACATAAATTCGCTCATAATACTTATTTTACCACAAAAACGCACAAAAAACTTCTATAGATTTGCACTAAGACTTAAAAGAAAAAAAGGCTCAACTGTACAAGAAAACAGTACCAGGCAAAAATCCTTCACAGGCACAATGATTTGTATGTAGATTTATAAAATAGATTAGTTTAAATTCAAACCAATCAAAATATTTGCCTGCAAATTCTCAGAAAAGTTGCAATTTTGGTTGAAGTCCAGTACTCAAAAGTTAGGAAATGCCAGAATTAAGGTTGTCTTTACAAGTTTAATTCTGTTCCCGTGTGCATATACATTATGATACAATCTTTAATTACATGATCACTTACCATTTTTTCTGCAGGACTCCTGCCTTGTGAGTACGTCTACACTGGAACAAAAGACCAGCAGCATGGCCATTGCTGACCCGTGTCAGCTGACTCAGGCTCAGGGCTCAGGCTGTGGGGCTAAAAATTGCTGTGTAGACATTTCGGTTCAGGCTGGAGTCTGGGCTCTGGGACCCGCCCCTCTTGTAAGAGCCCAAACGTCTACACTGCAATTTTACAGCCCCGCCGCCCAAGCCCTATGAGCCTGAGTCAGCTGACACGGGCCAGCTACGGGTGTTGCAGTGTAGACACACCCATGGTTACAATATTAAGGCAGTTGAATGCTGCCCTGGAAACTGGATTCTATCCCTGCTTCTGCTGCACAGTGCCTATGTGATGCTGGACAAATCACTTCAATCAAACTTTTCACAGGCAGTCACTAATTGTGTGTCCTCATTTTCTGGGTGCCATCTTGAGACCCTGGGGTCAGATTTGCAGAAGTGTTGAGCACTCATGGTTGCCAGTGAAGTCAATGGGAGCTGTGCCCTGAACACATAAATTGCTATTTAATGCAAAGTACTCTGAAAAATCAGGTCCTAGCTGCCTCAAACTGGTTGCCCAAAATCACTGAAAACTTTTAACCTTAATCTCTCTGTGCCTCAGTGCCTCTTCTGTAAAATGGGGATAATACCATCCCTGCACCTCCCCGGGTGATGTGAAGATAGACTGGTGACTGTCTGTGCAGCACTTGGATAGACAATGATGTGGGCCACAGAAAAGCCCATAAGGGCATTAATGATTCCATCTTCATAGCGGGGTTTGAATAGTGTGCAGTAAAATAACACAGGGGTGCACACTGAACTATGAGGAGAAACCCAAATACTGAATAACTATCCTGTGCACTGAATGAGCCAAGAGTCCTGTGAAAAAAAAACAGTATCTGATCATCTAAAAAGATTGTACCATAATGCATACATGCAAGGGGCTGAATTAAGGCTGCACAGACAACCTTAATTCTGACATTTTTGAATGATGGAGATTGCAACCGTAATATTTCAATGTAGGGTTTTTTTGTGTGTAATTCATTCAGTACACAGAAGTTTAAACTCTGCTTTAAGTTCAGTCTCAGGACCTTAGCACCAGATTCTGATAGTCGAACTCATGTTGAGCAGTGCCTTACTCTTACGAGTGGATGCACATGGGTCTGAACCTTAGCTGGTGGAGCTGATGTATCTATTGACTTCAATGGAGCTATGTTGACTTACAACAGGTGACGATCTGGCCTGCTGACGTCAATAGGAACGCTTGGGATAAAATACTCTTCAGGCTGAGTAAGGATACCAGAACGTGGCCCATAACTAGGGCTCTGTGTCTGTCACGGAGGTGGCGGAAAGTCACGGATTCCGTGACTTTCCGCGACCGCCATGACTTCTGCAGCGGCCAGTGTGGCTGACCCCAGGGTCGCCCAAGCAGCTGGCTCTGGGGCCAGCCACACCGGCTGCTGCTGGAGCAGCCCCAGGGCCACCTGAGCAGCGATTTCCAGGGTGGCCGGAGCAGCTGCTACTCCGGCAGCCCCCAGCAGCTGATGTCATGGCTGGTGCCGCCTCTCCCCACAGCAGTGACTCCCCAAGATTTAGTCAGGGATATTTATAGTATAAGTCATGGATAGGTCAGGGGCGTGAAGTTTTGTTTATTGCCCATGACCTGTCCATGACTTTTACTAGAAATACCCATGACTACATCGTAGCCTTACCCATAACTATGGACCATTTTTTCCCCCTTCTTATGTGGTTTCTCCATTGTGGGAGATTCGCAACCATGGTGGGCCTGTACTGTGCCTCCCTAATTCCCCCAGAAATAGCGACACAAGAAGCTGGTTATAAGCAGTGTTATTTATGCTTAGAGTGAACCTATCTTATTTGAAACCTTCTGCATTCCTATACTTCCTGCGTCTTTTACGCCCAGTCCTTATCCCTCAGTATCCCTCACACGTGGGTAATGGAAGGGCAAGAGTTCGAATTTTACGTGGCTTCACCAACCTCACTGCCCAGAGCTATAGTTTTAGGGATAACCCACACAAGATCAGAGCTGGATTAATTTAAAAATAAATCACTCAAGCACTGGAAGGATAGCATGGGACTGTCTAGGATATATATATTAGTCATGACAGCATCATATAAAACAGTTCAACATGGATTAGAAGATTTGTTGGAGAATTTTTTAAAAATTCACTTTTACTGATTAATCAATGCAGCTGCAGCATTCAGCATTATTACACTTTTCCTGGGTTCTGATTGGTTCATGTCACCTGTATTGTTCCACTGTAGCAGCCAGCCAATAAATTACTCTTAAAGAAGACTTGGTCTATATTAGAAAAGTTGCATTGGTTTAACTGAATCTATTTTAAGAATCCATTAAAACTAGTTAAACTGGTACAAACCTCTAAAGCAGACATACTTAAAGCGATTTAAGCAAGGATTACACTAGTTTAACTGAATTCAGAAATTCGCTGACACAAAAGCTAAACTGATTTAGAGCAAGAATTAAAGCTGTTTTATCTCACACAGCAAATTTCCAAATTAAGCTAAATCAATTTAAGACAGGGTTAAATTGGCTGAAGTGTGTCTATGTTAAGAGTTTGTATCAATGTAACTGGATTGATTGACTGATTTTTAAAATCGGTTTGGATAAGCCGGTGCAATGTTTCTCCTATAGACAAGGCCTAAGTATATGTATGAAAATGACAAGAAACATTAGATAAGTACCTATATACAGTAGCATCATGGATTATCCGAATTGCTTGAGTGACACTGTTATGTATTTGGGTAAATTGGTAGGGAATATCGGAAACAGACCTGCTAGCAGTTCCTTGGATCAGGGCATTTGGATACAAGGGTTGTGCTCTGTGTGTGTTGGGAGAGGGTTGTGCTCTGTTTGTGGGGTTATGCTGTGTGTGTGTGTGTGTACACGTAAATATACACAAAGAAATTAGCTTTACTTTTTCCTCTCGTCTACATACTAAACAACCTTGATAAAATCCTTGGTCATCATTGCTCGAGATTCTAATTGTACCAGACAAACCCTTGTTGCCAAGACACTCACACCGGTAGATAAGGAATTTCCTTGTGTCTCAGTGTAACACACTGGGAGGCAGGGGGCAGTGACTGCAGAACAAGAGAGCAATGCTTGAGTGGTTTGGGGTCACAGAAACCTAGCGTTTTCCTTGATTCCCTGTTGCTCATATTTCACGTTTACACAATAACACGAGGATGCATACCACTGTCCACTCGCTGCAGTGCTGCAATTTAGTTTCTTTCCAGCAGTTGGCACTGCAGTTCTACAACTGACATTTGTCAACACCCTAAAGCAGTGGCTCTCAACCTTTCCTGACCACTGTCCCCCTTTCAGGAGTCTGATTTGTCTTGCGTACTCCAAGTTTCACCTCACTTAAAAACTATTTGCTTACAAAATCAGACATAAGAATACAAAAGTGTGACAGCGCACTACTACTGAAAATTGCTTACTCTCTCATTTTTACCATATCATTATAAAATAAATCAATTGGAATATAAATATTACTTACACGTCAGTGTATACTATACAGAGCAGTATAAATAGGTCACTGTCTGTATGAAATTTTAGTTTGTATTGACTTCGGTAGTGCTTTTTATGTAGCCTGCTGTAAAACTAGGCAAATGTCTAGATGAGTTGATGTACCCCCTGGAAGACCTCTGGGTACCCCCAAGGTATGCATATTCCTGGTTGAGAACCACTGCCTTAAAGTAAGAGAGCTCCTGTGGGTGTGATGTCAGAGCAGTGGGATGTTTTCTGGTGGGAAGTTTTCTGGTGTCAGAGCTATGGACCTGCAATGCTACTGTTAACACGGGCTTCAAACACATTGGCGCCAGCCATTCATCACAGCCTTACGTCACCTAGCTTCCTATGCTGTGTTCTCTCTGTGCCCACAGCCTGCCCACTATAAGGTGCCATGCCAGTGCGCTCTGACACTAGGCCAAGCCTTTAATCCTCATTATGAGCCCCTTTAATAGCATTTGAGCAGGGGGTTGGACTAGATGACCTCCTGAGGTCCCTTCCAACCCTGATATTCTATGATTCTATAATTTCAGGGCACGCAGCTTTCAATCCAGGATCCTTTCAATTCCCTACCCCCTACCCTCACCCCCATGTTTACATTTTTATTCCTGCCTCTCAAAGACCCTGTTATTTAGGGACAACCCTGCCCCCCAGCCCTCCCAGTCTTTCAGTCAGAAAAAGCGGGACAGAGCCCCACTTGTGCCTGTCTTTGTTTAAAATACAAAGCTCTGCACCAACAGCTCAGAAGGCTACAGTGACCCCACAGGACACAGCAGTATTCTGGGCCATGCCTCTACTGTACCTCAGTGGTTTTGTTCCTGTTATAAGGCAGTCAGAGCCACGCAGGGTAGATCACTTATTGCCTCTCCTCCCCACCCACTAGGGATCGGGATGTGCGGGGTAACGGGGAGCCAAAGTAAGATCTGGTATCACTAGAGCCCCAGGACAACACACACAAGCCTCACTGCCATAAGGAGCACCAGCCGCTATCTCAGAGTACTCGGAGCATCACTCGTGGCTCTGCTGGGAGAGTACGATGCCCAATCCCCGCATACCTCTGGCATGTCACCAGGCGGTGGCACAGAGCGCCCGGGCCCCTCTGCAGCGCCCTGGGGCCAGGCGGGCCATGACGGCGGCTCACCTGGATGTTCTTCTCGCAGTCCGTCTGATGGTGCAACAGGAGCTCGCTCTCCAGCAGGAAGCGCTTGCCGCACTTGTCGCAGATCTGCATGCGGCTGTGGGTGACGTTCATGTGCTTCTCCAAGTACCAGCGGTTGTTGAAGACGCGGGGGCATTTCTTGCAGGGGTAGTGCTGCTTCTCTTCCAGCTTGACTTTCGGGCCCAGCCCATCCTGCTCCTTTTTCCTCTTCCTCCCACGCTGGCCCTCCTCTTCCTCCACCACCTTGGCCAGATCCTGGGACCTGGTGGACATGGTGGACTTGGTGGCCTTGGACGACCTGCTCCCCCTGCGGGGCTGCCCAGATTTTTCCCTTTTCACTTCGGACGCCTCTTCGTCGTCTTCCTCTTCCTCCTCCTCCTCGGTGGTCTCCTCCAGGTCTTCCTCTTCGCTGTGCTCCTCCTCTTCCTCCTCCCCCACCTCAGCGTCCTCCTCCTCCTCCCCCGCTTCCTCGTTTTCCTCCTCCCCTTCCTCCTCGGTGTCACGTCCATCCCCGTCCGGTCGGCTGATCACGGCGGCAGCTTCGTTGGCGGTGGGCTTCCCTTCCGTCCCCTTGGACACATTGAGGGTTTGGTTGTTGAGGTTCACTTCCACAATGATCTGCTCCCGGTTATAAGAGCTCTGGCTGTCCAGATCCTCCTCAGACTCCCCGCCCTCCATCTTACACATGGTGGCCAGGCCACTGTCCTTCTCCTCCTTGTAATACTGCTTGGCAGCCACAGCCGGGAGGTGCTGGTTGCCGTCTCCACCCATTCTGTCCTCTACTCGCACCGAGTAGGGATCGTTTCCTTCCCGGGCGTAGATCTTGGGGTGCAGAGAGTCCACCTCTTGCTTAATCTCACAGTAGTACTGCGGGGGGACAGAGTTGCCACAGGCGTCGGGGGGCAGGGCCATGTCGCTGGCCATGGCCAGGCTGAGGGATCTGGTGTTGATGAGCTCCTGGCAGGAGGAGGCGATGTTGTTCATCTGCAGCACGGCGGCGGCGTTCAGGACGTCCTGCACATTGCAGGCGTTCACCAGCAGCTTGGAGGTGTAGATGAAGTTGAGGATCTGCTGGAGGCCTTGGGAAGTCAAGGCCTCCAGGGAGAGCTCTACCCGCTGCAGCTGCTTGTTCTGGGTGAAGAGAGAGTGGAAGAACTGGCTGTACGCGGCAAGGACCCCCTTGTGGGCGGGGAAGATGCTCTTCTGCTGAACTAGGACGATGTCCACGTCGCACAGGTCCGGCTGAAACAGGCGCTGCTCGTTCAGTCTGTCCATCAAACACGTGAAGTGGAGGGCTACATCCTCCACCAGAGAGTATTCAGCGGAAGGGTAGTCAGTTGTCTTTTCAACTATCAGCTGCAGGGAGAGAGAAGAAAGGAGATGCAAGAATTCAGGAGCGAAAAACCCTTTCCTTTAAATGGTCCCTCACTTCCCTCCCTGACAACAGAAGCTAGATGCCAAGGGAGGCAGCTTAACCTAGTAGTCAGACCACCACACTGATAACTAATACGCCTGGCTCTACTCCATGACTGATAACTTCTCCGTAACATGGCCCTGGGCTCCACCACCTCCCATGTCTGTCCCCCCACAATTGTGAAGAGGGAACAATAATATCTGCCCACTTCCATAAACTGCTTTGAGATCCCTGGATGACAAGCCCATTGCAAGCATCAGGCTTTATTCTTATCTGCTGTGGTGGGTCTTTGACTTGAGAGAATGGGTTGTCCCTATGTCCTTACCCACCCACCATGCTCTGGTTATCTCTGCAGACCTCCGGATTCAAAAGAACGAAGCTCTACTGCCTGAGCTGAAAGCCCAGGTCCATAAATGCAACAGCTGACTCAAACCTCCTTACAAGGTCCAGCCACTAGAGGGAGACAAAGCCCCATGTTGATGTTAATATGAGTTCTTTAAGAATTTGGCTACACAGTCTCATCCACAGTGTGAAAGGGAGTTCACGCCAGTTCAAACCTTCCTCTGTCTGAGGAAACTGTCAACCATTTGTGACAAACGCAATTTGTGGCTCAATGGATACCTGTTCCCTGGGAACTGGATTGAGAACACCAAACCTATGTCACCACGAACGGCGAAACGCCTTGCCCACCCTCACCCCATCAACTGTCAGTCATTACCATTCCAACGCAGCGCCGAACGGGCTTAAGTGATCGTTTGAAATGGAGACGAAGGAGCAACTGAGCCACTAAGCAAAGGGGCAAAGTCACTTGGACTACGACTGCAGAGACGCGGGCCTGGTCCAGACACAGATCAGAACGCCCCCAACTGGTGGGGGGGATTTGGGTTCGGATTGAGGTCCATCTCCACTACAGCACATTAGATACTAGTATCTTCATCCCTGATATGCCCCAAATGCCCAGAAGGAATGGGCCCAACTCCCAGTTGCTCTCTTGCGGCACTTGAGGGAGGGACAGAGCATGCAGATAGGGGATAAAGAGGACTTTAAGCTACCTTTGCACTCCGCATTATGGCTGGTCAATGTTTTTCATTCAAATTTTTTTTCCTTCCTATGAAAAATGGCTTTGTTGTCAAAACGGAAACCTTCATGGGACGTATCGGTTGCCAGCAACATTCTTCAGGTTCTCAATGTCAAAACACAACCTGAAAGTTTCAGCCCCAAAATCAAAATATTTCTGTAAAACATTTGAAAATAAAACAACAACAAAAAAATCCAGATTTTGGCCAAAAATCTTAGGATTTTCCAGTTTTTTGATGAAAATTTGGGGAAAAAATACTTTTGTAGAAAAATTTCAACAACAAAAAATGAAAAGAATTTTCATCATAATGTTTTTCAGGAACAAAAGATCATTTCCCAACCGGCCCTGCTCCCTGCGTTGTGGGGCTGTTCAGGGACCTGCCCAACACCCACCGTATGGCACAGCAGCCTCGGGGCTGTACGAAAAACAGAACAGTCTTGGGGCAGTGCTCTCTGACCATGCCCCCAATCTGCCTCCTAGGTAAGAGCCAGTCAGAAAAGGGGCTTTTTTCTACAGAAAATTTTGGTGAAAAAAAAGAATCATTTTCTCCAAAACCCCAAATTTTCAACAGAAAAATTCGACTCCTTGGAGAAAAAGCAACAACTCAAACTATTTTAGCCAAAACCAAAAATATTCCACTTTGGATACGTTGCCCTGGTGCCTCATGGGAGTTGTCGTTCAGGTAACTCATGCTCCGATTTCTCCTCTCTAGGCCGGGATGCCTGGTCTAATGACATCTCCCATGATGCCATTTGTGGCTTTCAGTCAAAATATTTCAATGTTTGAGTCTGAGTTTTTGACCCCAAAAAAAATTGTGTGTGGAAAGCAGACAGTCTCTGTGAAAAATTGAGTTTAGCTGAAAACCCAATTTTCCAGCTAAACAGTTCTGATGGAAAATTTCCCACCAGCCCTTTCCTCCGAGGCTGGGGCTGTGAGCTGGGCTGGCGGAGAGCTACTCCATAGCAGCCAGGCAGCCTCGCTGCACCAGAGAGCTTGTTCCAACCACTTTAAGGCTCCCCCTATGCTCCTGGAATGGCTCAAAGCATCCTTAGCGTAAGTCAGGCCAGATGTCTTCAGAGCACTTTATAGCTTTAGCCCCTTGGTTCTTTGTTTCAACTGATCAAAAATCCACCATAATAAAGTCATGAGATAAGAGGATGTCCAGGAGAATCCAGGCCTAGCTGCTAGAGAGGCATGCATGCCAGATTGCTGGCCTCCCCCACCCCAACACGCAGCACTAACTAATCTCAGTTATTAGAACGGTTGTGCTTTTTATTCGCAAGCCGTGGATTAAAGACGCCTCCTAACAACTGCGCTGAGAAACGCAAGCAGCAATGGGCTCCCAGCGAAAGTAATTCCAGCTGTATCTGTGAGCGGCAATTACCTTCCAGCTTCTTGTGGTCCTGGCAGAGGGGCAGCGAGGGAGAGATTTAGTCGGAATATGGAAGTGACCTAGAACTCTGGATGAACATTTCAGATGCTAGAAAGATTAACCCTTTCCCTGCCCCAGGTACAAGGTATCACTAAGGTATCACTAAGGCACTGATCTCCCTGGTACCCAGGTGTGTGTGTGTGTGTATATTATATATATATATATTTTTGGGCTGTTTCAGCCCAAATACTCAATTCAATTAAGAACTGGTGACTTTAAGCCTAACAAAAATTTCTAACCTGGGCAGTTTGAAGTTAGGCCCCTAAATTCTTATTGCAGACACGTGATTTTCAGAGATGATGAGGACTCAGTCACGCGCATGAGGAGCCAAGTCTCTGAAAATTAGGTGTCTAAATAAGAATTTAGGTGCCTAACTTTAAATACCCAAATCTGAACATTTGGGGTAAAACTGCCAAAGGAGCCTATAAGCCCCATTTTCCAACGGGACGCAGAAACCTAAATCCCATAGACATTTTCAAATTTTACTCGTTAGCCTTAGGACAAATAAAGGAAATACACACACAGGCGTGCCACTTACTCACCCTGTGGAACTCACTGTTGCAGGAGAAAGCAACAGAGAGTCCTGTGGTACCTTTAAGACTAACAGATGTATTGGAGCATAAGCTTTCGTGGGTGAATACCCACTTCGTCAGACGCATGACCCACGAAAGCTTGTGCTCCAATACATCTGTTAGTCTTAAAGGTACCACAGGACTCTGTTGCTTTTTACAGATCGAGACTAACACGGCTATCCCTCTGATACTTGTTGCAGGAGAGCAAGTAAAATACTGCAGCTAGTTTGTTTTAAGGAGGGAAAAGTCATTCTTACGACCAACAACTTTTACAATCATGCAGGAGAAGATCAAGGTGATCAGATTTCATGCTTCAGGATGGAAGCTGTTGTCCACCAGGGTCAGGAAGAAAATATTTCACCACCACGGAGCACAGCATTGCACAGCTGGCTAGGCGCCTCATGCAGTGTTCTTGCTTTTGGAGAAGCACACAGCTCTACCTGATCCTTCACCACCACACCACTGCCACCAAGGAGGCCCAGTGCTTGGACAAGATCAGCTCAGGGAGGAAGAACAGCTGACTGAAGCTGAAACTGAGCAAGACAGAGGCCATGCTGGTGGGCAGAGGAAAGCATTTTGAAGAGTCAGCTGCCAGCATGATGCAGTCTCCTTTGGTTAAAAGTACACGCCCACAACTGGTCAATTCAGTCTGTGATTTGGGAGTACTCCCGAATTCCTTGCTGATGCTGAGCCCTCACAGAGCAACATCCATGAGTAATGCTTTCTATCATCTCTGGTTGGCTCTGAGACTCGGTCCTATCCTGGCAGAGGGTGACCTAGACTCAGTTATTCACGCTCCCATCACCTCTCAGCTGGTCTATAGCAATGTGATATACCTGGGCATGAAAACTTCAGTGCTTAGGAAACTCCAACGAGTACAGAACGCTGCATGTTTCCTCAGCAACACAGACTACCATGAACCATCCAGCTTGTCCTCTGCTCTCTATACTGGGAGAAGAGCAACTCAGTCTTCAAGGTCCCAGTCCTTATCTTCAAGGCGCTCAATGGCCTGGGCCCTGGCTATCTAGAAGTCCATCTAAAGCTCCACGATGAAGACCATGGTCGACAACGCCGCTCCTCTGGCACAGTGGAACTCTCTACGATCAGGGTAAAGCTTGTCTGCAGGAGACAGCTTTCTGAGGGGCTCGTTTGAGACTGTGAAATGAACTCCCCCAGGAACTAAGGGCCGTTACAAACCTCACCACCTTCTGCTCCCAGTGCAAGGTGCATTTCTTAGACCTCGCCTTCTCTAATATAAAACACAGAGCAACAAGTATCTATATTAAAAAAAAAAATTACAAAAACTGCATACACTTCTCCCCCGGGGAGAGGCTGAGAGAACAAACAACATGTGACAGATGTTAGTCACTTAATGCATGACTGTGATAAGCACACAGATACTACTGTGATGAGCGCAGTATAAGAACCTATGTAGAATAGAAGAGACTGAATGAACTGATACAGGGAAAGTGCCTCCAGATCCAAATTGAGGCACGTTGGCCGTAAAGCAAGGGGAAAACCAAACCAAACGAGATCCAGAGGAAGCCAATGGCTCACGTTCACGGTGGAAAGGCCAGAAGGGATCTTTGTGATCATCTAGGTTCACCTCCTGCATAACACAGGCCACCAAAGTTCGCCCAGTAATTCCTGAATCAAGCCCAGTAACTTGTGGCTGTGCTAGAGCGTTACTTTTAGAGAGATGTCCTATCCGGATTTAAATAAAATAGTAACAATCCCCAGCGCTGACACAGTGCTTGTCATCAATGGACCTCAAAGCCAGTATCAATATCCCCCTTTTAGAGATGGGGAAACTGAGACGGACGGAGGCAAAGCGACTTGCCCAAAGTCACTAGCAAGCCA